CACTCACACACACCCACAGGTTCATGCACATGCATTGTCTTGCACGTAACACCCACATGCATTCACACACACATACACAAACAGGGGATTTTGTAAAATCATGTGCAGGATTTTGCCTTCAAAGAGTAGAGTGGCGGGGTGTGTTTGTTTTGACCTAATGCAGCTTGAATGAGGAATTATTGTATTACTGAGGTGGAGAAAGCAGCTTTCACCTGGAGATGCAGGGCGACAGCCAGGCCTTTGATGCTATTTGTTCCACAGCCATCTAGTCATTGTGTGTGTGTGTGTGTGTGTGTGTGTGGGGGGGGGGGGGGGTTACATAAACATCACAGAATGGGCTGTTTTTGAGAGTTTATCACCTCGGATAAGAAACAGGCAGCTGTGTGCGTGTGTGTGTGTGTGTGTGTGTGTGTGTGTGTGTGTGTGTTTGACTTGTACTGAAGTGACCCGATTCTGACTGCTGCATCTCAACGGCAAAGTCATATTTTCAGCCAGCAGATGCTTTACCTCAAAGCTCCGCAAGAGGGCGACATTCAAGCAGTTTTACTAGAAATCATGGTCAGAGTTTCATTGTGGTCAGAAAGTCATAATGTCAAATCAAGACACTATAAAGCACTTTAAATACTGTAAGAATGAAAAATGCAAGTTTCGGTCGGTGTTAAAGACAAGAAGTAAAGACACAAATCCTCACAAAGGCATTTTTCAGATAACCCAACCCCAGATAGAACTAAAAAAGTCTCAAAAAGTATAAAGTGTAATATGTTTGAAAGTCATAAAAGACTTGTAGTAAAAGAAATTGTAAGATAGTATGTTGAAAAAAGTGAAGCAAAATGAAGTTGGATTTCTGTGTATCATATTACCCGGATGTTCTGGTGATTTCCCACATCCATGGGCCCACAGAGAGGCGCAGTAGCATTTATTTTCACCCCGCCGTCCAGCCCTCGGTCCAGCCTCGTTCTTGGGCTCATTCACATGAACTGAGGATGGAAAATAACTCTGGATTCGGCTTTTAGTGCATTTACAACTTTTGGGACCTAATGAGGGCGAATTAAGTGTTTGTACTGGGAATTTGATTTACCGAAAAAAATATTAGGCACTTGTCTTTTCCAATGTAGGTCTGTGGGAAATAAGTTTTTTTGGACCCCATTGCGTCGCATTGTGACACAGAGGTGAATCAGCCTGTACATGAATAATAATTCATAAATATACATTGTTTCCATAGTTATATATTGTCATCATCTCTAATAAGGCAGTGTGTGGGATGTTGTTGATGTTTTTTGTCTAGTTGTGTTCTGAAAGAAAACTGAAAGTTTTTTTAAATCTGTTTGTCATTGCTGCACTGGAAAACAGTTGTTTTGAGCATGTAGGTGATACGTCTCAGCATCCAATTTAGCGTAGTGGAGGACACGTCCCCTCTAACCCAAATCAGACAGTCCCTGCTGTCTGCTCAGATGAAAGCAGGTGCACACTGACAGGCAGTAAATGTCAGACCATGAGTCTAAAGGCAACTGAAGCAGCACAAGACTAAAGCAGTGAGTCACCGATGCATCCGGCTGTTCAGTGTACAGAGGATGTTGAAACTCCATCAGGCTGGAGATCATTAGCTCCAAAATCATTAGCCAGATTTAATGGTTAACACTGATGCTAATGTTCCACACTTTATAAACCAACACCAGATATTTTCCCCACACAAGCCATCAGTGTTGCCCTCACACAAATGGATAAAACTTTGTCAGTATGATCTGTGCGCTGTATCAGAGGGGAATCAGTACTGACTTCTATCCTGAGAGGTGAACGGACAGACAGAGAAGCTGGTATGTGTGGATCAATAGTGCCGGAAGAGTCCACAGCCAGACCAACGGAGAGGTGTTCAGGGACTGTGAGTCAGAGGCTGCTGCTTACTGAACTGGACAGAGTTAGCTCTTGCTTCATTTCCGTCTTTGCACGGGAGAGAACAAAGTGTCAGTCCACTCTGTGTCCTGGTGGTTTTATTTTTACGTAACTGATTCGTGGTTCACGGTGTAGCGTTATGCAGAACCTGTTTCCTGAAACTCATTCGGTTTGGTTGAACAAGGTATAATATGTGAGACAATAATGTGCAGCTTGACGAAATAGGGAAAGTTTGTACTGCTTTTGCACAAGGCAAGTTGTGGCTTATAGCTTTGTTAAGAGTTAATTCATCATTTAATGATTTATCATCAGATCACCTATTAAGAGCAACTTTTGGGTTACCAAGCTTTAAAAAGAAGAAAAGAAAATCTCAGAGGTGAGTTATTAATAGTCAGGTCATAAAAAATAAGTAATTTAGGAAACATCAATTCTGCAGTGATGTGCCTCAATAAAGTTATCAATAGAAAAGAGTGTGACGTTATAATAAGGCTTAAGCCATCAGAAAAAGTTAGTAAGTCATGTGATACGTAATAATATTAATGATATTCTGATAAATTAATCTAATGATAAAGCATTATTTGTATTTGAACCCTACCGTCAAGTCTAAATCGAGTCTACTAAAAATGTAGTAAATGATCCAGCTGCAAATAAACAGCAGAAGGTCCAGTTAAAAATGAAGTTGGTTTGAACTGCCACTCGTTTTTAAAGTGAACACTTGTGAGAAATATTTTTGTATTGGTCTATACCCCTATCATCAAGTTTGCAATTGAAAAGTAAAATTTTATTTATTTATTAAGCAGATTGTGGTCGAGATGCTCTGCAGTACACTTCCAGAGGGTCAGAGGTCAAATGGCCTATTGGAGGGCTCTACCTGATGGCTTAATGAACTAAATAAACCTGCTGAAGGAGGATAAACACAACCTAGAGACATTTTTCATGAACTAAAAATTTTGAAATAATTGCTTATGACAATCACTAAAGCATCGGGGAATTATGGATTAAATCTAACCAACTCTTAGTTCCATTGCATAAACCATTTAAAGGGTGATTTATTAGACAGCAGCACATAAGAATCCTTGTGTATTGTCCTCCTTGTGCTAAAATGCAAATATACTCCCATATCCTCCTCTTAGTTGCTTTGAAGCATCTTTACTCAGCCTCCCCCAGCGTGGGAGGTCAGATCAGAGGAATGAAGAAAGAGCGGCATGTCTGTATCAAATGCTTTACAGCCTCATGCCAGGAATTTTATTTCATATCTACACTAAACAGGATGTGCAGTATTCTGTGCTTTCATGTTGAAAGGATTTATTACCAAGCCCTGCAGAAACATCTTTGGAAAATATTGGCTGAAATTCAATTGATTCAGTCAGTATTGCAAAGTTAAAGATAATCCTGTATATCGGTATTGGGAAATAGATGGTTATAGATTCACTGTATTTTACTGCCTGCATTTTTTAAGCTTCTAGTTTGGGTATAAAAATACACCTGATACTGTTGTACACTGAATAAACCGACAGCCATATGAAACTATTGTTTAACTTTGCTCTGGACCCTGTAGAGTAATCTGGAGCACATCTGGAGCTTTCTATGGGCCTCACTTCATGGACAGAAGTGATGGTACAAGATGCATTTGACAGAAGGAGGAATTTTCTATTGAAAGGAAAGAGCGGGAAGCCTTACTTGATAGGATGAGTGTAATTAAGTGCGAGAATGCGTTTTCCATCCAACTGGGCTAATAAGATATACATTTCCACATTTTACACATCGCAATGTTTTTCCAACACACAAGGACCCGAGCCGTGACTTTTTTGTGTGTGCAATAATTCTGCTGTTATTATTAGTAGTCGTCATTTTTCCATCATTATTATACTTACTACTCTTATTATATGAATACTTTCTGTCATATGCTTTGAATGTTGTAGCGTAGGTTTTTCTCACAACTATTCAAAGTGCACGTTGGGCTCCAGACGGGAGAATAATAGAAATTCACCCTAAAAGAATATGACTGCGAACAGTTGGAGAGAGAACTAACCCGGCTACAAAATGCAAAGTAAGCATAAATCAACCAATTAATGTATTTCATTGAAGTCAATTATATTTCACTCAACAATCATAAATCAAATCAAAACAGATAATTTCTTTCTAAATACAGAATTATACAGAAAAAGGTTCATTAAATCAAATACACAGAGTCCAGAAATCAAATGTCCAGAGTAATAAAAGTAATGAGGACTCCAGGTAAATGTCAATAGTTTATGGGCAAGTGATAAGGTGCGAGTGGCATGCATGTGTGAGTGTGAGTGTGTGTGTGTGTGTTGGGGGGTTTGTAGTTCCGTTCCAAGCTAAGGGAATATATGGCAGTTCATTTCAGTTCCGTTCAGTTTATTTCAGGGTGTGTAAGTGTGCTAGGAGAAGAAGAAGGGGAAGCCTGGAGAGTTTCATGTTAAAGGGACTTATCTTGATGAATCCCCGAAGTTAAGGAGGCCCCAACTGGTCCAAGCTGTAGCAGAACACGATTCTTTGTTCACCACCTGCTCCCGGGATCAGCACACCTCCAGTAATGCCTGGTACTCCAAGAAAGCTCCGTGTATTCAGTCGTTTCACGGATCCTTGCTGCTCCGATTTAGTTTAGTCTTTGTTGACATTTTCTTAGTTTGAGCTTAACAGGTCCAGAAACTAAATCATACTTTCAGTAACTCCATTAAAAACTCTCACTCGTCGCTTGGTTCTCCTCCATGCAGCTTTGGTTAGTTGATTGGTTTTTCCCTTCCCCCAGCTCACAGGTGTGTCTAATTTATAGCCTCTCTTTCCCCTTCTTTTGCTGTCAGGTTGGAAAAGGGCTATTCTGTGTATTTCTGTTCTGCTAAAATGTGTTGTAACTCTGTTATGTTGTTCATTCTGTACACATGACATCTATCACACTTCTGTCCACCCTGATAGAGGGATCCCTCTACTGTTGATCTCCCTAAGTTTTTTTTTGGGGGGGGGTCCTGTACCCATGTGAGGGTCCTGGGACAGAGGATGTTGCATGTGTACAGATTGTAGAACCCTCTGAGGCAAATTTGTGATTTGTGATTTTGGGCTATACAAAATAAATTGAATTGAATTGAATTAGAGTGTACAGTCACTGTGTGTATGTGGCAGTCGTCACATTTGTTTGGTGATCTGATATGACGTAAGAACACCCGAGGAGTTAGATCACATCATGTTTGGATTGGACATCATGTCGATATTTAAAACTATCGGAGGGCTGTCACCCACTGAGGAGGAAGCAATGACAATATTTATTCATGAAGCATTCAGTTGACACAAAATCTCTATCAGGACCAGATGATTTGAAGGCAGGCAGGTTGAAAAGTCCAGCAGGAAAGAGCGGAGGGGAATGTTTGCATATGTCTCAGGATTATGAATTGGAATTAAAACAACATTTTGATTGTGCTGTTCTAGTTATCAAAGCAGCAAGACTCTTTATTATGTTCCATAGTTCTGTGTCAGTCTAACTGTTAGCAGGATGAGAACTCTATGAAATGACCACATTTACATGATCCCTTTCACAAACATATATTTAATTGTTTGTCTGTCCAAAAAAAACTCAATAAAATCCACATCTTTGGCAAAATTCCTTAATATAATATATCAATTTATTTTAAACTATTCCCTTTTAAAAGCAAAGACATTCATATACAGTTAAGACAATACATGGCACCAGCAGGCATCTATATGGTCAATATACAATAAATACAAACACAACACAATAACTCCTTCCTTTAAAACCAAAAAAGTGTTACATGTTGGTATTAGAAACACATTCAATTTCCTGTCATTATCAAATATCTGAAAGGTGCCAAATGAACAATATCTTACCATATTAATAATTTATGTTTAAACCCACTTCAGTTTGTTAGTCCAAGTGTTACATTTGAAATGAAAGTTTTATGAAGACATATTTCTTTAGTTTGGACACTGTGGCGTTCATTGAGTAACTTATGGTCAAATGTAGAGTAAAATAGATGATATAGTACGATACCCTTTAGGTTGTGGATACCTTTAAACTTGGTGTTTTTAACGTTGACAATAAAAGGCCACACAAATGTCAGCTTGAGCCCTAAAATTGAAGTCTAATAATGTGTAAAAATGATTTCTAATCCAACTGAGAAACAATATTGTAATTGTTTTAGTAGTCCGACTTAATTGTCCAACTTCTCTTCGCTTGACTAGCTAATATTTATTGCGCAAGTCTCTATAAAGTAGACCACATCTATTTCAATTTCTATTTTACAGTGTTCCATTGACTGCAGATAAAACGGTCTATGGTAAAGTCTTCATGCAATCAACTTAATTGGTAACCTCCATTGAGGCTTCTGTTGTATTGAGAGGCGTCGTGAATCAAAAATGGAGTCACTGCAGCAGATTGTGTTCAATAATAAAAGCCAATAGCAAGGCAGCCACAGTGTGTGAGTAGTGCACGACATTCAATAATGTTGCTAGCAAAGACCCCATGTTAGACTGTGTCACAGCAGACAAATTACAAAGTGGTTCTTCACTCTTATGTCTGTCTGTTTTTGCCTTATTGTTGAATAAAGTGGTAACTATTAGAGAAGGCTTGGAACCTTGTAAATATGTATTCCAAACGGAGCTGTGGCATCTGTGAATGTTTATTGTAGCTTCCTGTGGACGATAAGAGAAGAAAACTTACAAATCCTCATGGGAACTGAAAAACAATAATTCAGCAGGCCACTGTAATGGCCTCTTAAATATTCGCAAGAAGAGGTGTTTACAGTACTGCATGGAGACAAATACTGGCACAGTAATACACCGCTGCAAAAACCACGAATGGCGACATCCGTGACATTCAACATTAACATTAGCCTCTGGGCACAATACAAACAGTACCACGACATCAGCATAAGTTGCATATAACCAGAATGATACAGCTATACAGACTACAGTTTTTAAGCGGTCACAATGGAAATCATCACAAAGGCAATGCCGGGATACAGAATACTGTTGATATGGAGAAAGCTGCCGCACATCTCTGCTCCATACAGTGATCGGTGCTTCTCTCTCTAAAGCTCTGCCGATACTCACGGACCATTTGGATATTTCTCTGATATTTGTCTCTTCCCGAAACAGCATGACCAGTTACTTAATTCATTACCCTATCTGTTGAGTAATGATATGGACATCTATCAAAGCTACCAAAAAATCAACAACGGACCTTAAAGTAAAAAGACTAAAAATAAATACTTTGAAGCGCGTGCGCCCCAATCGCATGTTATTCCAATCGAACTCCACCTCTCTGTGTTTCACTCACTGGCCGGCAGAGGGACAAGCGGGCGCAGTCCCTCAGTCAGTCAATCTGTCCTACAGCACATCTGATTGGATGGTGTGCCAGCGAGCCGTCTCAGTTTGCCCACGACTGCACATTTCCTTCCAGTGTCCCTGTCCGGCCTCTGAGGCATCGCTGCCAATCGACACGCGACCCAGAATGCTGCTCTTAGTGTAGAGACGGCCCTGTAGATATAAAAGAGATAGCTGTATTAAAAAAAAACTATGAAGATTGTCGGTTACCAATATTTCAGCATTTTAACATAAAACTGCGTGTCGCTGTTTGATATTTTATGAATATACAACCTGTTTTCACTCGCAACACACCAAATAATGCAGCTTAGTCAGTGCTCACTCATTTAGCATATGTGTGCGACACACCAACTCAAAGCATCAAGGAGACTTCTGTTCGTGTCACGTGCGAAATCAAAAGTAAAGTTTGTCTGTGACTCGTGACTTGCTAATCAGCGAGTCAGGTGAGTCATTAGTCAGTCAAGTTTTCGTCAACCCCACTCTTTTCCTAAACCCAACTAAGTGGTTTTGTTGCCTAAAGCTGTAACTTCCTGTGAAGACAGAAGTTTATTTTGAAAAGACACTACGCATGTAAAACTGACGCAGTACCTAGAGCGTCATAGTTTGAATCTCAGTACCACTGACCAAGCTGCGTTATTTGACACATTGGCACGAGAATGTGTTAGCACATAAGGGAGTTTGCCAAATAACTCCCTACCTGCATGACGATGAACTCAAGCACCAATGGCAGCTGAGTGATGTCACCAGAGGGCAGGTCAAACAGGAATGGGGCGTTCCAGACGGGGTTCGGACCGCTGGCCCCTTTGGTCTCCTTGGTACCAATTACTTTCCCATCCTGACGCAGGTTGATGACAACGTAGTGGTCTGTAGGGGAATAAAATACATCCACAGTCATGATTCTGTTTCATTTATTTCAGATTTAGATGGTTCTACAAAAGTATACAAATAAAAAGGAGCTGTAAAAATCATGGTTCAAAAATCAACATTTCTGGTTGTTGCTGGTGTTAATGAATGAATCTACGCTCACTGCCATCTGATGTGTTGTTTCATCTCCACATGAAACGGTCTACACGTCTTGACCCTCTCTGAACCGCACTGTCACTATTTATAATCTGTATCATCACTTGTAAAATATAATTTCCCTCGTGTATCCATCCTAGCATGCAAATTGGATTTACTCAAATTAAAAAGTTATTGTCAGACAAGAAAAACCCACCTGCATAGGGACAGATTTGAACAATTTCATCCTGAAACTAATTACTGACCACGTAGCCTCGAACTGCCACTTTAAATGTGAGAAACCAAAACATAAAAGTTGTTTTCCTCCTGCAGAATCTCCCACTGCTTTCTCTCCTCACTAGCATCATAAAAGCAGAGCTTTAAATCAGATGCAGTGAGATATGATTCAGACAGGAGGGGAAATGACATCGGGCTGATCAGATCCTAAACTGATTATACTACAAGCCAATCAGGGATCCGGTCTGTCTGACTGTGGCGGAGGCAGTAGAGGAGAATACAGACAATAATGAGAGAGGTTTGTGAGACCTTAAGAGCAACTTACAGTGTGAGTTTAGTGACAATATTTGCAGGCAGGAACTTGGGGATTCAAAGCTGTATGCAAATGTTTGAAAAGTCAACTGAGAAAGGGTTCAAATAAATGTATTAATTAATTAATTTAAAGCTAAGAATTGAAATGTTTTTTCCCCATAAAATACAAGAGTCAGTTCTTAAAGTACCTATGCAGAGTATTTTTATATAAAAAATGGATCACAAGACTACTTGCAAATGAGATGTTGCTCGTAGTGACGAACCAACAGAGAATTAGCACATGGCTCGGCAGTTCCCTTCAGCTCTATAGTCCATTTTAGCGTCGTTCAACTCTTTGTTTTGTTTTTCCGCCTGCAGCGTTACTCTTTTGGTTCACTCTCTCAGCTCTCATCGGCCTTGTTCCCAGCAGCAGCAGGAAGCTGTTTTCCACAAAATAACTACTAAATCCACTGTACATAACCTGCTCAGCATCAAACAGCTGACAGGCAAAGTTAGTGACTATAGAACATAGTGGAGCTTTAAGCAGCTAAAGAGCCAAACATTTCGCTCAGGAGTCGGTGGAGAACAAAAACAGAGCTAAAATGAGAGTGAATATTGGACTTACATTCATTCAGGGTCAAGAAATACCAAATGATTGCTACCGTTTCTCCGTAACTGCTGGATGTGTAAGTATGCAAATGTTTGCTACCACGTTTGTTGTAGCAACTTAAAAGGGATGATATGCAAGCATTGTGTTGTAACTTGTTTCTGTTGTCTCATAGTGTCCAAAAAAATGAAGGGAAAACAAGTCAAATTAGGATAAATTAGTACATGTTTGACAGTTGTACTGAAGCAGATACATAAGTAGCATTACTATTTTCCCCTCACCTTATCCAAATAGTTGTAGTTGCCAAAACTTAACAAGACCTTGTTCACAAATGTGGCACCTGTTGTTATGTGCACCCGATCAGAAAACACACCCAAGCGGGCGATACGTAAGGCAATGACGAACAATCTGTTTTTACCTGGAGCTCCTGGGATCCGTGTGAGCTTGGCCAGATTCTCAGCCTTTCGGACCATCACCTTGATGCGCTGGGCCGGCGTCTGGTACTGCAGCAGGATGAACATCTGGCCCAAAGCCCGCGGCACGCACACCGAGCTCTTCCTGTGACCCAATGTTTCCTGGGAACTCACACTCTGAGGGTGCAGGAGAGATAGATCTTTTGAAAAAATGTGAGCGATCTAGCAAGAGGGGGAAAAATGTCTTTCACTCAGCAGATGTTCCCTTCATCCTTTGGGAGGCTGGGAATGAAACGAAACCAAGGAAAGGAACGAAGAGAATGGAGCGGATTCAAGCTGTAAAGCTCTTAAAACCCCATGCTCATGAATATGTTTCATCAGTTATGTCAGTGAGTCGACCAAGGCATTGACACTGTCAGAATCAATGTTTCAGTTCCCCTTCATAGGGATTCACTGCCTGTCAACGTAAAGGAACAGGTTAGGAGTTCAACTTCAATCAGATTTTCTTCACCTGAAGAATGCAACTAAAATAAATTCAGTTTTTATTCATGAGGCAACTTGGGTTGACCTGCCTGAGGAGCTCAGCTGGCCTGAAATCACTTACAGTTGATCTGTAATATTGGTTGTATGTAGCTGTCAGGGTTAAGCATTGTGTTCCCAATTTCCCCACCCATCCTATAATAATACAGACATTCATGCACTGAGGCACTCTGGACAAAAGTAATAGCTAATGTGTATGTATGATGATAATTTGCTTCTGATTTCATGTCACATCTCATCAGCTTGCATTGGTTGGGGTGCGGTGAGTCACCGCCTCCCGTCAGCAGGCTGAGCGTCAGCCCGCCAGCAACTTCTATGAGGCCGGGCAGCAGAGTGTGAAGGAGGTTTCATCCAACAAGTGAGTTTCGGTTCACTGCCTCTGTCTGTCACTAGCATTTCGCCCTCACACAGTGTCACTCACACTTACACTGCCTTTTAACAAGGAGCGATGTCAAACCAACCTTACAGCTACGGCAAGATTTGTTTTTCAGGGATGTTTTTAGAGGAAGTCTTTCAGAAAATGATCATCCAGCAAGCTAAAGACCCAGATATTTTTCTCAGGAGGTGCAGGAGACAAAACCAGAGCCAAAATTGGACTAAATGGGATGTTCATGATGCTATCTGACTGTTGGATAAATCAGTAGGCAACTCTTTGCTAACAGATTATAAGAGCTTGATAGTCCAATAAGGGTTGAGTTTGGGGACTTCCTGTAACGTTATATGATTGCTAGCAATGTTAAGTATCGAACTCCAACTCGGCAGCCTTGTGTGACTTCTAGCTTTTTCTCACCTTGCCAGTCAAACGAGCCAAAACAGTGCCAATTTGACGAATTTAAAGCTCAGCTTGAAATTGTGTGGAGCCGAAGTAAATGAGCGGCCGAGGATTAAAAGGTGAACATCTAGCAGGGCAAATAGACCCGGAACATTATCTCAATTATCACTCGCAACATTTGGCAGGCAGATTCTGTTGGGATCCCCATGATGCTCTGTTCTTAAAGCTGGATTCAGCAACAGATCTTTAAAAAAAACAAAAATATGGTGATAATGTCTGGTATTTACTGTATATGTTGATCAGTCATTCTCAGTTCTGTCATCACTTTGTGCATCCCTGATTATTCATGACTGACAATAGAAAGCTGAGGCTTGGGGCCATTTGCAGAGAATGTTGTATGTCCTGACAATCAATAGCAGCCCTGTCGTGATCATACTCATTTTGTGCTAAAATGCACAGTCCTTAAATTGCTGCCACGTCATGCCCCCTATTCCCATGACACGTCGAAACGAGGGATGCAATGCAGATGGATAATCATCAATACTTCGACCCGGTCACATTACACTGATTGCAAAACCCGGTGCTTTACTATGAATCCAGAAAACGCCTACATTAAGAGATGGAGTCCCCCGTTATCCGGATTGCTCCGTGCAGCCCGAGCTCTTTTCACAGAAGCCTCCTGCTCCACACCCACACAGTGACACACACCTGGCAGCTGCTTTCATTGAGAAAGAGGAAGGTTATGGTGTGTGTAAGTGTGAGGATGAACCACACATGAACATTAGAGGAGACGGAGTTAAGCACATCTGACTTTGATTTTCACATATGTGCAACATATACAGTATGTGCCAAGCACACAGCAAAAATCTTTGGCAAAAATCACTGTGACTGAGTAATGTCCACTGAACCCCCCCCCCCCCCACACACACACACACACACACACACACACTTCAAAAGGCAGATATTTATGCCCTCTGGCAGTGTTTCAACAGAACTGCAGAGGGCACAGCGTGGGCGCGCTGCCAATTTGCTGCACTCTGCTTGTTTGCTCTGCAGTCGCTAACAACAATGTCACCATGACTAACAACAGTGGAAAAACGGCTAATGGGAGACCTGATTAGACGCTACATTCCTTCATGGATAAAACATGATAGGCGCCATTTATAGGCATGTGTGCGCAGTTTCCTGTCCGTTAAATCAACTGAAAAGAAATCACGTAGTACATCCACTAAAATCAGGGAGAGCAGCGCATACACCCAGTGCTCCAAAAAGTTGTTAAAATTTCCATGACCAATCCACAGACGCCTGCTTTGATCTGCAATTAAGATCGCGACACGACCGTCTCAAAAACTCAAAGATCTGAACAAACCAGTACCACTTCAATTGACATGTGTCTACAGTCTGTGCTAAATCTTGATTGTATCTGGCAGGACCCAAAAGAACCAATCAAATTACTCTACTGATCAACCGATTAGAGATCTTTTAATTTAAAGCAATAGTTTGAGAAAAATGCCAATTCACTTTTTTTGCTGAGTCAGATACATAGACTGTATATAAGAAGTGGACGTATCACCGTGACGTCACCCATTGGTTTGTGGACTGCTGTTTTGAAGCCTCGATATTAGCATTTTGGCCATTGCCATATTGTTTTTTTGCAACCAGAAAGGACACGAGAGGGTGGAGCTAAGTACAACCGAACACTGAATAAGACATTTGTAGGCGTCCAAAACTTTCATGCACTGAAAAGACACGGACAACTCACAGTCCGGACAACAACGTGGTAGCAGCGGCCTGTCAATCACAAGGTGGACACGCTCTAAAGCATACCCTCCTTTATGGTCTATTTCACTCTAAATGAGACCATAATTTACTAAATGGACCGTATGTAGGGGAGTAGGGTCATTTTCTCAAAGACTTCTAAACAATCTGTCTTCTCTTTGCATCAGGAGGAGTCGTCCCCTGATGGCCACTAGAAATAATGCAAGTTTAAGGCACTTCCACGGCTGCCTGGTTAGAATAGGTGATCCATGCCACTCACATGTCTGTCCGTTCAATATGAAGCTACAGCTAACAGCTAAGGTAGCTTAGCTTAGCATAAAGATGGGAATGTTCTAACATGTATCTCCTGTAAACAGATGAAACCAACAAGATATAACCGCCGATTATGAGCTTTTGTGTGTTTTTTTAATTAAAAAAGCTCTTTGTGCTCTTTGTGCTCATTACAGCTCTAAATTCATCGCCAATCTGCGTTCTTTATCGTTTTGACTAATGTTTTCCACTACGCTCTTTGCTTTTAAAAGCTTATAGTTGCATAACGTTACATCAAATGAACGAAACCACGCAATCGCCGTATACCTTTTTCAGCTTGCTTTTGGTCGGGCTGAGCTCCCTGGTGTAGGTGCTGGTGGTGTCAGGCTCCCAATCCATCTGCTCACAGGGCAGCTCCACCACCCCCAGAGCGGCCTCCCTCAGGCCTGAGAAGTCCCTGGTGTAGACAGCGAGTCTCAAGGTGCAGCCACGCAGCTCTTCCACGGAGCCCACCTGCAGCACGAAGCTCTGGCCGTGGAGGTCCGGACTGACGCTGCGGCGCCGAGAGGCAATCTGCTGAGGGGTGGGGCAGAGGGGAGGAAGGCTGACCCGGACAAACACCCCGGTGCGCCTTCGACTGGCCCCCGAGAGCCCCAGGATGTTGACTATCAGGGTGCTACAGGCCGAGGAAAAGAGCATGGAGAAGTGAAGGAGAGGAGCTGGCTTGGAGGCGATGGAGAGAGAGTTAGAGCCATACTGTGAGAGACAGGGCTCCCCCTGCTGGGCGGGGGCGCTGGCAGCAACAGCAGTTAGTCGACTGCTCTCGCCGTAAAGAAAACTTACACCGCTCACGGTGCTGCGTCGACCCATCGCCCGACGGGACCTGGACACCAGGCCCAGCTTGGTGAGGGAGGGCAGGGAGGCTCTAACGTGACGCGGAGGCTTGCTGGGTGAGCAGGGATCCGCCGGGGTGCTGAGGCGCCGCATCGGGAAAGAAGACCCAGGAGATTGCACCAGCTCAGCTGATCTGGTAGGGCTCTGGTCAAAGGGCAGGGCGGTGAGGTCGTCCTCAGAGGGAGAAGAGCTGCTTTTAGAGGAGGGGAACTCCAGCACGTCCCCCTCCAGCTCCTCGTACTGCTGCTTGACAGGCTGGGTGCACGGAGACGGAGTCAATGTCACAGTCACCCTTTCGGCAGGATGAGGAGACAGGAAAACGGCCTCCTTGTCCTCCGATGAAACACGCTTCCTCCTGCGACAGCAAAGGATGCAGCCGAAAACCAGGCAGTAGCAGAACACAGCCAGACCCACAGCCAGCAGGATCTGCAGGTGAACTAGACAGACAGAAAACAAAGCAGTCACAGATTAATATTCTGTATTCTAACAAATCAAATCAGTTTTGCAAAACAATTTTCCAGGTTCAGGTTCAGGTTACTTTTATTGACATTGAGTACAAGAAAAAAATTTCAACACAGCCAAATTCATTGCGAAAGATAGGACATCTGACTTTAAACATGATCGTGTTGTGTCTGCACTCTGCGTCTTTGATGAGATTAAAGAGGAAACGTCTCAGGGTTGTAATCATAATTGTATAAATGACATTGTCACAGTTGCTGCTATGATCCAAAACAGGAGCAGAGCACATGCAATGCGTTGGTGACAGTTTCCCTGGTAATCAAATTGTGTGTGTGTGTGTGTGTGTGTGTGTGTGTGTGTGTGTATTTCTGTTCATCATTGGAGCATCTTACACATTCATGGTCAGCATTGTGACAAATAAACTAGTCCAGTAGAAGTTGAATGAAACATTTTACCACACATTGCCAACATTACTGTACTATTCTGTATGCGAGTCCATCACCGTTATATTGAAAATTCAAGTCACAGATAACATTATGGCGGCACCATTACATCAAATGTAATGCATTTATTCATTCGTATTTCCCTGAAATTAATCCCTTTAAAAAAAATTAAAAATGAATTCTTTATTTAAATTTCAAAATAAAGTTTTGTGGGTAGCCGTGTATAAAATAATGACTGAGCTGCCCAAGTTACTGAGATAGAAGCAGTTAAAGCGGAGCTCCGATGTCCATTTAGCACCATGTAATGAGGGTGTGAGGTTGGATGACTCATGCATCACACACACACTGGTGGGTGGTGGTTTAAACAAGGCAGCTTCAGCCGGTGACGATCACAAGGAAAACATCCAGCACTGAGAGTGAAAAGCTGCATGATTTGATATTTTAAAAAAAGAAGACAATAAATACTGATAACATTTCAAATGCATAACTTATTAGGGAGGAATGCTGTGATGTTTTTCCTCTGAAATATAGGTGGATGTGTTGAGTTTAGGTGCACACCATCTGTGATAGGAACAGGTTTGTTTAATCTGGAGATCTGAGAAAATGCTGCTCCAGCTCCAAGAACTGGAGAGAGAGAAATGTGTAAAAAAAAAACAACACAAAACACAAATCTCATCCGATTACCTGAGGGGTGTATTCCAATAACTACCAAACAAGAGACTTGTGATCACTATCAAAGCCAGTGAGTGCTACATGTCAGTGCAGGTCCATGTCAGCCCCGTCTGTGCAGGAGCAGGCAGCTCCTCAGACAGCCTCCATTAAGAGATGAAAAGCACAGCAGAGCTGAATGCAGCAGTGGTGTTAGAAAATAAAGGCTGACGGGATCGCTCCAAAAAATATGACTCAGCCTGGCCAGCCGGCTAGAGCCAATGGACATGATTATAGACCAAATGAGGTAATAGTCAAAACCTATAACTGTGCCAATTCAGCATTTTGTCTGTATTTAGCTATTGTGGTTGTCCTGGTAGACTTCACTTACTTAACATGTAATTACTTTACATTGAGAAAGTGTAGCTCTAGGCTAACATAATCTATTGTATTGGTGCACATTCATACACAGTTATCAAGGAGAATTAGGGACACCTTCCGAATGAACTGCAGCCTTCCACCACAGTCTATGTCTCAGCTGTCTGAGTGCATACAAATACAAACCCCTCTCCTTTGACTTTTTAAATTGTTTTAAATAAAACACGTGCTACGTCCTGATAGTTGCCTTTTTTGTCTCTCCGTCGGCAAAGGGATATATATATATATATAGATATACAAGGAAGCAACAAATTAAAACAAACTCGCCATGCAGAGAGAGTGAGAAAGAAGAAGACTTCTTACCTCCCAGAGTGTACTGCGACATGTTCCCATGCAGTTTGATGTGTGTGTGTGTGTGTGTGTGTGTGTGTGTTGAGTCAGTGCGAGCGCTGTTTATGAGCGCGGTTCATCGCCAGTGCGCAGGGACCCGGAGCCCTCCAGCCAATGGCTTTCATCGGGTGAATGAGCTTTTTATTTCAATCGCACTGATTGTGCGTCGGAGGCAGGAAGGGTTCACTGCCTGAAAAACAGTGCTGCCGTCACCGTACCGCTCTAATTCGGCCTTACGGGTCTTGTACTCAATGTCTTAAACATGACAAGTTATAGAAAACAGGGATACCACACAATAGATAAAACAGCCGCCATCGAATAATTGGGACACAAAAAAAGGTATACGTGTCCAAAATAATCTATTTTTCTTGTGGTGCGTCATCCCATCAGTCATGTCAGGGACTCGTGCCACAGTATGTATTTTATTGTAATCTAACCTCCAGTATCATTTCTAAAGCACACTTGCATGACTATGTGACAACGTCAAAATGTCATGTTACGATTATCCCAGCCATGAATAATTGGGATTCACGATATTATCCCGAGAATCATCAAAGTCTGCTCAAAACTGCACTTAAAACGGGACCAGAACATACTGGAATCACTTCACCTGACATTTTGTTAAGAAATACAACTTTTTATGCGCAGATAGGAGATTATAATGATGAATGATCATATATCATATTCCCTTGAATGTAACTTAATTATACATCTTCTTATATACAGTAAACATTTAACAAAAATGTTTTTTTCAAAGCAACATTGTGTGTACCTGTTCTTTCCTTTTCACTACACTAACATGATCGCGAGCTAGACAGCTTTTCCAGTCAGTCGTGACGTACATGATACAGGTAAACTCAGGCCAGGCAACAGTAAGGGACTGTATGAAAAGTACTATGCAAGGAGATGGGGTCAGAAAAGTGGGAGGATAATGTAGGCTAGTTTCTTTTCTTTTTTTGATGAAGCGATAGTCTGATAGTTTGGCAGAGAGGGGCTTTCATATTTTTTTTTTTTACAATTGGCATTTAATATAATGAATGTGTATTTATACCTAGACTGTTTAAATAATAGGTGTAGCAAAAATTACAGCCCTGAAGCTCTTCAGTAGTCACATCTGTCCTGATTGTGTTAAATGTTCATTTTGGTTCAAAAATAGAGAGCAGCTGGAACTCCAAACGTGCAATAATGTAAACATGATGGTTCCCTTAACATATAAAGCTTGAAATCGAGGGTTGAGATGAAAGATTAGGGTGTTGTATTGTTCCTTAAACAAAATGAGACTCCAAAGCAAGTTTTAATATCCCTTGCTTTTTAAAAAGTACTGTTCACAGAACAGAACCTAATCATCTCCTCAGCACAAAGAAAGTATTTTAACACAATTGGGAAGAAAGAGATTCTATCTATTATCTTTTCAATCAATCAATTGTCTATAAAACGTTTCCAGGATGAATTCATCAAATCGTTTGTTCTGTGCAACAAACAGTCCACAAACTCAAAAGGTATTCAGTTTATTACGACATCAAATGACATCAAAGAGAGAAAAGATTTATTTTCTTAATCAGCGGCATAAACATCCAAGATGTTGACGATTACTTTTCTGACAACAAATGGATGAATCAACACATTGTTTAAGAATTAACTGACCTTTAAAGAACATTTGATCCAATGAAGATTAAACTGTTTTGACCACTCTCTTCCACGATAAACATGAAACATGATTGCTAAATGATGCGGTGAAAGTGTGTATTCACTGGGGACCAGATACATATGACTGCCATGGATCTGCCACATCCGCCACAAGGTTGTACAAACAAAAGACGGTGAGTCACTCCTCGCCGTAAACAAACACTGTGTATACATTTGTGGACATGGAGGCACCCAGTTCATTTTTCCAAGTACAAAATGAGAAGTCCGGTTTACGGAGAACATCTTCTTGGCACTGAAACGGGCGGCTTTGTTCCCATGATTTGTCTCTACATTCTCACAACAATTGACTCCAAGACCTGAAGTAAAGAAAAAAAGAGTAGAGGGACCGGTTACTCGAGCAATTTGTGACCACTGGGGGGCAGAATTACGCAAACTTTATTTGTATAGCACCTTTCCTACAGGTTAGTGCAATTCTATATGTGTTACAGATGACTGCCTGATAATAAGACAAATCTATCGGGTAAAAACGATTTGAGACAAATAATTAAAATAATGCTCAAAATAAAAACCAAATAGATTCAAATAAAATACAAACTACATAAAATAGATCAAATAACATACAAGGGAATACAAATCAATAATTAAATAGTTAAATCAATAATAAAATAAATCAATAAATAATGGTAGTCAAACATTCTAATTAAAAGCCAGCTAGAGATAAGTTTAAAGGTCATGTTTAATATATCCTCAGCTGCTCTCAGACCCTCATGAAGACTGTTACGTCTCTGAGAAGTTTTTGTTCTGCACTTTGGAACAATTAAAACACTGTTGCCACAGAGGACTTGAGGGGTCATCCTGTTTCACAGAGATGAAGCATGTCAGACAAGTAGGTTGGTGCAACGCCATGACGTGTAAAGTTGTCAGTGGACTCCTCCCGCGTCATGCTGCTTTACATGTCAACCAGCAACACTGAACACAACAGCGGTGCATGTGGCTCAAGGTCAACATCTCTACCCTTTTAGAGTTTCAGAGTAAGCTGCATTTCAGCTGTTCCCCACCTTTCTTTCCTCCTCCACCTAAACGGGGGAGAGTATCAGTTTCAGGACAGGTTTCCTGCAACCGTATCCGAAACCAACCAGGTTTCAGTGAGAAATACTGTATTTCAATTAGATGGTCCACACAGAAAGTGTTTTCTGAAATTGAAGCAGATATCAATATCCATGATGAAGTGAGTAATACTTGGGAAATGATTTCAAAACAATGGCTGCAGCTGGCACTCAAGTTCCAACCTGCTGGTTATTACAGTAAAGCATAACCTCAACTAGCATTTATAGTTTCTTGGACAAATGTGGAACGGGGGACTGGAAAACTTAACATTTCTCATTTTTCAAATTCTTTCGATTTGGATGAATACTTTATTTTGTACAGTTCAAGTAGTAACACTAGTACTAGTACTGAATTATATACGCTGTTTTAACACAATTAGTCAATTTTTGCATATTAGCTGCAAAGAAACAGCTGAACACATTTATAATTATATATTTTAGGCTCACCCTTTTTTTACCTTGGGAATCACATGTGCCCCCTCCCAAAAAATACTTGATTTACTTGAAGTACCTTCCACATCTTTAATGAAGAGAACCTGAATGAGGAGCCAGAGGAGGAGCAGCATTACGACGCCTTCGATCATTCCCTTGCAGAAGAAAGAGACGACAAGCTGCCAGGCAGGCTGGTTGGGGTCGTCCTCTTCGGCTGGACGAGGCCTCGCCGAGTGTGTGTAAATATCTGTGGGAAGTTGGCGGACAACTTTAATAAGTCTTCTTCCAAACTCATATTTATAAACAATATGTATTAATTAATATTAGTGAGACAGACACTGTGGACGAGGAAACTTTTCACTCTCTGGATCCCTTTTCGTTAGCAAAGTTTGGATGTAACATTTGGCCTTGTGTCTCACATTCAGAGGCCTTGGACTTTAAAAAGATGGGGCGTGCACCTTCTGCTGGCCTTTTTCTCTCAGCATTCTTCCTCGCAATCCAAAACATATCTCATCGTCTCAATTATGTGAAATTCTACTCGAGTGATGTTTTTTTTTTAAATGTTGCACACAACAGGACTAGACATTTGAAAAGAAAAGCTCAAATTCAGAGCAGCTGATCTGCAGTCAGAGGAAAACTTAACATTGGCTGATAAATCATTTGACTCACATGTGATGTGCATCTTCACTCCTCATCAGAGCCAGCATCCGTCGGCTGTTGGTCTGCCGACAGATGAAATCCTTGCAGCATGAGTATCACTAATTACTCTTAATAGACCTTCTGTTCTTCTCCCCACCCGGTGGCATCCTTCATTGTGCGTCCAGAGTATGAGTTGAGTTAGCTCGGCCACCTGCTCCGATTATCAGCTGCAGTCAGCTTTCAGCATGTGCGCTGCAGCAGCATTCACAGTACAGCTGGCCAACTTCCAGTCATAACTGCAGTGTGCTTCCAGCTGTTGGCCAGAGACACAGAAAAACTGCAAACTCTCTGTTGAGGACGATCAGACCCCGGAGAGGTTGGGAAACTTAAGGAAAATACAATTACTGTTTTGTTTTACCTTTTCCACCAGTGATTTCAAAAGATCTAAAGTAATGATTTGATTTAAGAGGGTTTCAGCCCACAACGACTTCCTTATGATGAGTTTTTCAATTATTTGCCTGGATGATTGTGTGATTGATTCAGTGTAGCTGCCTTTGCTTGTTCTCCATGAGCAAATGAAGTAACAATTTCTGGGTAACCAAATAATTTCTCATATGAAACATTTTAATGTTCTTTGGAGAACATTACAGGTGTGTTTAAGTGATGTGAGACATCCATCTCCCCAGTATAGTTTCAGACAGTCACATGACTCTTCATCCTGCCTTAAAATGTATTCATGCAAATACACAAATAAAATAGTTTGGTTGTAAGGAAGTCACAATAACACGTAGTCAGCTGTTTCTGGTGAGGTAATATTGTTTATTACCATCCATATTTTGAAGTATGAATGGTTCCAGTCAGCAATGAACCTACACTGCCACCTGCTGGAGGTTTAGGCAGTCTACAGCAGATCCTTGTGATTGGCTCTTCAAGTTCTGCTCGAGGAGGGTCTGGAAAAGTCACCTTCATACCGTCAGAAAACTGACAATTCAAACATCACTCAGTCCTTCTACATAATCTATACATTGCAATTAATATCCGAGCAATTAGCATCCTGCAATGAATTTGTGTATTGCTGCTACACATATCGCTAACCCTTAACACATTGGCTTATTTACCTCCATTAAAGGAAGTAACCAAACATCCATCTGGGATCAGTTTATTATTTACTTTTAAACTTTTAAAATGACAAAATGAAAGAAATTCAGTCTCCTTTACATTCCCCTTTTTCTATTTCCCTTTAATAACTTGAGGGTTACCGTAATAATTCCCTTTAACAGGAAACAATGCAATCTAACTATATTCAGGTAACCTTTAATTCGAGTTTACAACAAAGGCAACACACACACACACACACACACACACACACACACGTCTCGGCCTCAGCTGAAGAGCATGACGGCAATAGAGCCTTTTAAACTTCTTATACATTCTATTAGACTGCACCTTGTTAACCTTTTAATCTCCAATCACTTTCTAACCATATTTAGAACAATAGTGTTTTTTAACTAAGTCACATATATATACAGATATACCTTTATCGTTTTAATAACAATGTATGGTATTTATTTTTAACCTTGTTTAGTGCTGCTGTTAAATCGGTATTACATTACTAATCCCCCCCCCCACAAAAAACAAATAATAATATAATAAATAATTAAAAATAAACAAAAAAAATATCTACAGAAAAGGCTGTAGTGATCTAGAATGAATTGTGGAAGGATAACTTATAGCAGATATGTCACTATCTATATGTGTTTTTAACGTGAAGAGGCGGGGCTGAGGCGGCTTCTCAGTAGTTGAGACCAGAGACGCTCAGTGAACTACTTCTGTCGTCGGACACCTCAGACTCAGCATGCTGCCCTTATTTCTAACGGTATATGTGTTATATTTAACAGCGGCGACATCTCCGACATCGCCGACATCGCCCCTGTTACCGAGGATGACGTTCACAGAGAAAGGTATGAAAAAATTCGCTTTTTTTGTTTTGTTTTTACGACTCTAAAACACGACACTGTTTTGACATCGCTGTGGTGATGTTAACTTTTACTCTGTCGTGTATCCAAGAAAAGAAGGACAAATGAAACGTTTTAAAATGTGTTATAATCTTCCCCAGTTTGATTTGATACACACACAATTAGCCCAAGACTGTTAAGGGACAGCAGGGCTGCTGCATTGCTGCATCGCTGCATACGTATGCAGCAATGCAGCAATGCAGCACACGTGATGAAAGTGCTTTTGTGGCACTAACAGCGACGAGTCAGGTGCAGACTATTCTTCTTCTCCAAGAATTTGTTTTATTGTGATAGGGAACTGTAGGACATATTGATAGAAATACATGAATTTCCATTGAATGACTTCACGGTGTCACAAACACACTAAAGTCATTAATATAAGATGGTTTCAGTAATTAAAAAGTTGTGACTTCATCATGAACAACAGGCATTTTTAACAGACATTTAAGAAATACACTGGTTTACATAATGAAGTTAATGATGGCTGGATTCCATTTAGCTGCTTCAGTTTGTGCTCTCTGACCCACTGGGACACTTGGAGAGAACAGAAGAATCGTTAGTGTCATTAATAACACCTCTAGTTGAAGTGTCGAGCATTGTGGCTTTCACGTTGACACCTTGGGGAGCAACACACATTCTCCCACGTTTAAACGCACAGCGCCTCTGCAGATCTTGCTGATTGATAAACCTCAATCTGACGGCCCTTCCATCTTACCGCGTTCTCATCCCTGTGTGCTTTTAAAATGCTTTCATTCGCACAATCCGGTATAACAACGTGAGGGTAGCTGTGAGAGACTTGGAGCACCAATAAGAGGAACACCATCCATTCGAATGAAGGATGAATTAATGACATTAATGAATACACTATCAGCCCAAACTAAGGTAAATTCTTTAAAACTCCGCCAGAGGCTGATAAGGCAAGATGTGTGTGTTCCAAATGGTTCATCAAATCCCAAGTCATAGAGGAGTGTCTCTCTCAAACTATTCAAAGATTGGAAACACATGGGCTACACCTCTACGAAGCAAGCAAAGCAGATCATTCTGCATTGTCCTCTATGGCTAAGAATAGGGCAGCTATAATTACAAGGTTCAACACACACTTGGAATGGAGACCATATCATTGCATAAACATGGAAAGTCTCAAGGGGAACCTTCATGAATTTTTTATCTTAACAAGCGAGTACGATCCTTTACTTCCGTTTCTCTTTCCCGTTTAGTATTAATGTAAATTGAATATATTTTGGTGGGACCATAGCAAGTTATTGTATGGTTTGGATATGGGATTGAAGGGCGCACATTTTCAGACAGTCTCTCCTGGGAGACACGGAGTTGTATTTGGTTTTTCACATGAAAAGTGACGAAGAAAAAGAGAGCTGAGAGAGTTCAAACCCCGGCTCCTTTCCCACCTCCACGGGGCTGGCCAATCGTTGCATGACGCGAGGCCGCGCCTCGACTCAGCACTGCTTTTAGCTAAATGCTAAAATCAGCACGCCAGCGTGCTCACAATGGCAGTGCTGACATGCTGATGTTAAGCAGGTATACTGCTTCCCATGCTCTCCATCTCAGTTTAGTGTGTTAGCATGCTACGGTTTGCTAATTAGCATTGAACAAAGTACCAGCGAGGCTGTTGGGAGTGTCATCAGTTTTGCAGGCATTTGGTTGTAATCGTAAAGTATTACACAGATGACAACTTTGATGGTGGTGTTAGATGAAAAGTTGAATCATCACCAAAAACCACGATTCATCCGTAAACTTGAATATCAAACAACACATGTCAACCTCATGGCGCTGCTACTGGAAAAGTCAGGAGATCACTGAAGGTTCTTCATCTTGGAATCACGCAAAACAAAAAGTAAAATGGTGTACATGCAATGGCTGATTAGATAATTCCATCTGGATAGAGCCACGCCGCTGGCTCGACTAATAACAGGTTAAACTCTCACTGTGTACAATGACAACTTGACCTTATCCATTGCACACCCAGTGTTTATCATTCAATATTCTTCACTGTAGAGACAGCAATGAAAAGGTTACCCCTGCCCGGACACCACGCACCCGTACAGATTGTTCTGCAAGGAGATCCAGACATCGTCATCGCCGCTGGACAAAAACACCTGAACTCATTCAACTTCCAAAACCCTCAGAAGGTAGTGAACGTCTCTGACAGTGTTTGCTTACATAAGCAAATATCAGGAGTTTACATTTAAACAACAGCTGGCATTCATTTACAGTGACGTGGAGATAATGATAACAAGGCATTCCTTCTCTTCACAGACTTGGGTGGAAATAGACGTGTTGTGGACAGAGTGCATCGACAACCGGCATTCGCAAAGACTGAGGGTAAAGAGAGTAAAAGAACATAACTTAATAGCAAACAGCAGAACACGCCGATATGTTGGTCAGATGTGATTGTAACATCACAACAATTCTTGCTCTTGTCGCTTAGGATTGCAACTATAAGATCACCGTGGTCCACAAGAGGGAAGAGGACAACCAGGTGTTTCTGTGTGGGACCAATGGCAAGGAGACCCTGTGCTGTGACATGGTAGGACACAGACAGAGATGCACAGGATATGTTGCTGAGAGCGGAAGGAGCGTGTCTGTCACAACGTTGGGTATAATCACATAAGCACATTGGGTATAATCACCGGCGGTGCTCTTTTCTGTCTGGTCGCAGTCGCTATCGCCGCTCAGTGCGACTCGAGACACTTCTGTGTATTTGAAACAATCCACATTGTGCTGCCAGATGGAGGATAGCAGGGGTAGTTTGAGATCTTTTGTGTTTTCTTGTAGAATTTATCAGAGCAGATACCCATGTGCCGTCCCTCTGAAAAAATGAAGATGATAAAAGACAGCATAAGGGAATTTGTCATAAAGGAAGGTGAACCGTTTGCCCTTGTGGGTAAGTTTCTGAACACAGGATTTTTCTTAAACGGCTGATTAATCTGCTTTCTGATTTAGATGCTCTTGTCAGCACTACTAACCATGCTTTAATCAGCTCAGCACTTTCGAATGATTTTGTCTCCTTCTTTGCTACCATTGCTTATCAGGAGATTGCGCTGGGGCTTCCTGCTTGTGCCTGCAGTAGGAAGCGATGCTGCGATGCTGCTGTGATACACGAACCATTTGTAACAATTTGTTCCTTTTTTTTTTGCAGATTCTCTAGAAAGTGATCTCTACATTACATACTCTGGTTCTCAAGGGTATGTTGGCATCCACAAGTTTGGGAAAAACCGAGTTGCCCCGGCAAGACACAATAAAGGTATTTGCATGGAGATAGATTGTTTTTTTTGTGAGGACTTAGGATGAGTCTCATCAGTTAAATGACATTCATGACTTTGGTTTTTCTCTCTTTAGAGCAGCACTATGTGGGTTTGGTGCTCAGCAGACAGAGAGACCCAGAGAACAGCAAAGTCTATGCCTTCTATAGGGAGAAAGTAAGAGACAGAGGCTTGTACAGTGAAATGTGGCTCCCTTTTGTGACCCGGGTTTGCACGGTAAGACCTGCACAATTAAGACATTTTCAGCTAAATTTCATGAATAAAAACCATTTTTAGCATCAGATATGTGCATGTATGGGTTATATATATATACACACACGTTACTAATCATTACATATGCATTATGAAAGCAGGATTGATCCTTTGGCTGCGTTATTGTTGCTAGGTGGATCTTGGCGGTCCCAAGAACTTACTGCAGTTTTGCTGGACGTCCCAGATGAATGCCAGGCTCTTCTGCGGAGACGCTGACGGAGGAAAGCATTTCCCCGAGCTGATAGACGTGGCTACTGTGCATGCAGACAAGTGGCAGGACACCAGGGTTTATGCGCTCTTCAGAAATGAATGGTAAGTCCCCGTTACCTTTCATGCATTCATGAAAGGGTGAAGGGTTTTACAAAAGTGAAAACACTGCTTTTTTTCTAAGTTTGAATCATGTTGGGGTAAGCTAAATTTAAGTACAGTATAAAACTCAAGTACAGTCATAACTTAAGCATTATCATGTAATGCTGTGCTTTTCCAACAATGCAAACAAGTAATTTAAGTCGAAAAACAAAAAGCTTAAATGTAATCCAAACTTGACTCGTGACCCATTTTGGCAAAACTGGTTGAACTCTTCCCAGCATCATGAGATTAAAGTCAGACCCCGTGATGTGAGGTGAAAACAAGAATGAGTTTGCTGTTGTTGTGTCTTTACATAAAACGGCAGATTCACATGTCGTGTCAGCCACTTTTATCAAACCATATCCACAAACCACCATGAGATGGGAATAAAGACTCTAAAAATAGTTGTTTATTCAGTAAAGTACGTTTTTTTTCCTGAGTAAACAACTATCGTTAGAGCATTTTCCCCGTGTCTCCAAGAGTAAGTTGATTAGACAGAACTGCTTGAACGTCTCGCTTGTTCTTCCTCTTTTCAGTCGAGTTGAGTTCCTCCTTTCTAAATGTGGCCCCGTCTGATCAGTTGTTTTTCACATCTTCTGACCAGCATGACTAAAGTCTTGACTGTCCTCTCTTTCTTCAGTTTCTTGTTGTTGCAGATGTCTCTGTGTTTACCCGCTGACCTCTGTGTCTCTCCACAGGGGTATGAGTGCTGTGTGTGTCTACACCATACAAGATATTGAACACGTCTTCACAACCTCCACATTTAAAGGTGCGGACGGGCAAAGCAGCCGGCCTAGAGAGGTATGTGTCGAGCAGCTTTATCTGAGCTGTAAAATAACGAGTGTATCAACTTGACTCGTCACCAAATGATTCCTGATGTTATTATGGCCGCTATCTTTCAACCTATATGCTTCAAGTTACAAAGTAGATGATGTGATCAATTCTGAGTAACATACATTACTTTGTTTCATTTTTATTGATAAATCATCTACACGTCAGTACATCTAGAATTATAACAACATTTTCTCAAATTTGACCAGTATTTTCAAATGATCTTTTGTGTATATTATAGCTTTTAAGTCATCACTGGCTACTAGAATACCCAAAAACTGCATTATTATTGTTTGGTTGTAGCTTGGTATTATTGTTCTGTTTCATTTTGTATTTAAAGGCATTTATTCGTCGAAATTCCTAACTTTTACACCCGCGGCAGCATCAGAAAAGATACTCAGACAGAGAACAATGCACACTGCTACGCCATCCCATCCTTGGATTTTAATGTCAGTGTCAAGCTAAATTTGATGCATCTAGCCATCAATATACATATTAAGGAACACTTTTAAGGGGTTATTCTTTGAAAACAAGTCAACTTGAAACATTCGAAAGTGAACCAGACAGGTTTTTCCATCAACTCGTGGAGCTAACGATAGCTTCATTAGCTTGGCAGGTGATTGGAGGAACCGCAGCCAGTCGAAAGAACAGCGCAAACCTTTGTTCCGTGGAGAAAAGCCTTCAGTGCCGTTCTTTGTTCTTCTTTTAAAGATAAATACTCTGCAGTTCAGATATAATTGATGTCGCAGCATCTATGCCGCCATTGTTGTCTAGAACAAAAAGTTGCTTCTCTGTGTGTTCTCACCATAGACTGTGTGGGTCTCACACACACCCACGAATTCTCTCGTGACATTGTGAGAATGCCACGCAGGAACGGGAAAGCTCGACAGGCAGGACAAACGTTAACTGAACCAACACAACACAAACCAAAACCCACATGCCTTTCTTTTCCTTCAGTGTGTTGCAGACAGCACAAAGATTCAACAAGACATCCTGAGGATGATCGAGACGAATTCGGAGATGGAGCAGTGGGTCCGGCCTGTGAACAGCTCTGGCCCGCTCCTCTCTAATCACCACACCTACACTCACATCCACGTCCACGGTTCCCAGGACAACAGCGACAGTCACCACACCGTCCTGTTCCTGTCTCTAAGTGAGTGATATGAATCAGGGAAGTTGATACTAAGAAAAGGGTAGTTTACTGTACATTAGTGTACATTTGAGTGTCATTACATACACAGGTTCCTCTAATTAGTTTTTTTTTTTATTTGAACGACCTATTGTTTGACGTCCTACCCAGGTGTAACTGAATTGGACTGAGTCATAGAGAGCAAGGAGTGATCACCTATGACTAGGACTGAGACCTTAGACTGGAAGGTTGACCTTTCCAAAGTTGAGTGTGCATAGCTGTAAAGGGAAGTGCAACTTCTTCTAAATTCTGACTGATGTCTATATAGTCCGGGGACCGTGACTTTGGTTGTGGTTGGTTTTGTTTTTGTGTGTCATTTCCCGTGATACGACACGTGGAGTATCACATGTGAAATAGGGTCACGTTATTTTTTTATTTTTTTATTTAACCGTTTTATGACATATATGATGCGTCATCGTACTGTTTTTGCACTTTGGCCCATGTGCCTATGAAAGTAAGACTTTTCATCACATGCCCAAAAGACTATGAGAGGAGGTAGAATCACATTCACAACGAATTTGAATTAAACCCACTTTTTCTTGATGGTAATATGAACTATATGATGCTTCAGCCATTGAACATATCTTTAAAAAGTTTTGAAAGAGTATAAAAATCATCTTTGGACGTATTATAACAAATGGCGTCCGAGCCTCAGCGCTCTTCTTTGACTGACATGGAAGCAAGTTTGCTAATCTGCCTTGATTACGTCATTACTGCTCAATACTGAGTATTGCTAACCCCCCCCCCCCCCGTTGGCTTGTTAATTAAAATTAAATATTGCAACAGTCAAGTTGCAGCATTGTTCAAGCAGCTACAAGTTACAGTACCAATGTAGTGCTAAGCACAACAAACTTTTTTTTTTTTTTTTTTTTTTTTAAAGCTTTGCTGGATTAGTCATAAAGAGGTGATGAAACAGTGTGAGTGGGTTGGTTCGTGGTGGTGGGGTGTGTTTGTGCTGGATCGAGTCAACTTCCTGTCTTCCTGATACAGATAATGGAGGGATTCATAAGGTGATGCAGAATAAAAGTCAGACATTTGTCATCGCTGAGTATCAACCTTTCAACCACAGCACCCACATCGTCAGCATCAGCCTCCACACCTCCTCTGTGAGTAACACCACCTACACAACTCTTCCCCTGAACCAAGACACAGGGGGGGGGGATTTTTACTCCTACACACCAATAATGGTGTTAGTGAATTAAAGCAAGATGGTAGTACTTCTGAAAGAAGTGCGTACAACTTGGATGTTTTTGGAAGTCTAAACTTTTCAGAGGATATTGGTGTTCTAATAGGTGGTCCCATTAACATTTAAAAAAAACGAATTATGTGCTGTGTATCGTTGCAGAGGAAGCTGTATGTGAGCTCCAGAAATGAACTGGTCCAACTGAATGTGGCAAACTGTGCCCAGTATGGGGACAGCTGTGAGCTATGCGTGTTGGCCAGAGATCCCTACTGCGGCTGGAACGGCATCCACTGCACCCCTGAGATAGAGTAAGACCACCCCTTCTTGATGTACCAGGAGACATTTCATCTAAATATCCCAACATACCCTTTCATCCACAGTGTGTATGTGTCTCAACACCTGCCTTATTAGATGGTATAAATACAATATTTCAACCCCTCCACCGATAGTGCCGAGTACAGTTGGCCAATCTGCCAAAACTGCCAATCATTTTTCATATCTGCATTTAAACCTGTTTAAAACAGGACTTTCCCTGAAACAAATGATCCCTTCAGGGCTGTGAGTTAGCTATAGTTTGGCAGTGCAGGCATAATAGGTGCAGATTTAAGTGCTTGTGCAAAGGTTTTAGCATGTTGTTATTTAGCTACAGGCCTAAGCATACGGCAGTGACCTCACCTGACTTCTGCAAGGCTCACTGTCACATGTTATTGTTTATGCACCGCAACTCAAAGCTGCCAATGTTAGAAAAAAAAAGGTTATTACCACAAATTATTTTATTATGAGGATTTGTCATGAGAGAAGTTTCCCATTATAACAAATTATAATTGTTTTTTTTAGTTTTTTTTAAATTGCAACAACTTTTATCTATCAGGAAATATAAGTAAAAAAAAAAAGTGTACTCACTTGAGGATATAAAGGTAAGTCTTGCATCCTTTATAGCCACAGTCTGATAAAATCTGAAGATAAAAGGGTGTTACGAGAAAACCTCGTTTATAATTTTCCTATTAAATCAGAATCAGCTTTATTGGCCATGTATGCATACGCATAAAAGGAATTTGACTTCGGTTTTTACGTTGCTCTTAACGTACATACACAGAATATACAAATAAATAAACAAATAAATGCTACTGTCAAAGTGTGTTTGGACCAAAGACAAAGCTGATTTTTGCCTTGTGTCACTCGTGCAAATGTGGCCGCTGGAGTATTTTTGTTGAGTATTAGCCCTTAACAGTCAATGGGAGTACTGAAGAGGGTTTCCCCTCCATAGATACCACTTAGTGCAAACTTGGTTTGTTGTGAAGTACAACCGATATATGGAATCAAGTAACAAATACATATTTTTAGAACTTACCATGTAGTCCTATGGCTTAGCCCTGTTTTCTCCAAGCTCTGTCCCTTCTTTGTCCCGTCTCTGTCCAGTACCGATATGGAGCCCTAGAGCTCCGGGCACCCACAATGTCCTCCATTTCTGATTCTCTGTGACGTCAGGAGCATCTCAACTCTCAAAGGCTTTTGCAACAACTCGCCACATTAATTATTCGTTTTCAACTCACCCGGCACAAATTTGAGGGTCTTTGCATTGACTTTGTATTGTCTGAACACACCTGGCCTCATTATTACATTCTCACTTTACAGAGACAAGTTAACTTGAAATAGACTTCACCTCTAAACCTGACAGACTGCTTTCTCTGTAAACAGGAAGAAAGTTTTTCATGAAATAATTATAAATCGATTTCTCAGTATGTGGCCGTGTAGGAACTTTGGTACTGGTACCTACACCAACTACACACATAAACACAGCCCCTACCCCCACCATCACATCTGCACACACACTTCCTGTGATGTAGTTGATCACTTCGATCACTAAGATCAAAGAGATTCTTTTCATACGACTCATTGTGATCTTTGGCTCAAAGAGGAAATGATAGTGATATGAAGAGGTTCCCCACATGGGGAAAGGCTGACCAGCATTGGTAAGTGGAGATAAGGTGTTGTATTCTTGCTCTGAGCAATAGTCTGACTGGCAGTGCATCTATTGTGGTGAAATGCAGCAGCCCCCATGAGCCCCCCTTACCAGGAGATGACGGAAGTGACTAACTGTCGCCGTTACCCGATTTTTTTTATTTTTTTTTTTTATTACTAGTGTGGATCTATGTGGAATCTAGTGAAAAAACCCCCAAACTTCAAATTTGACTTGGTAATCTACCTTACTGTGAACAACACTGAATCATTCACTTTCATTTGTATTGTTTAACTTTCCTTTTGGTTCATAAAATAATAAGTCACAGTCACAAAGCAATGGGATAATACTTTCATATATATCCACATATTTATATATCAAATAATGTAATGTTTTCTAATTACATGTTATTTTAAGTTGAAGGTAAACAGAGACACTTAGTTGGGCGGACAGAGCACCGGCAGCTGTTCAGTGTGCTGTACAGAAACAAATTGAGTCTGAAAACAAACCTAAAATACATTTTGTCGTTCATAACTTCCTCTTATGGGTTGGGTGCCCGAGTTCTGCTCTGCTCACAAAGGTTTAATGGCGATGTTGTTGCCAATAAAATCTTCATACGATTAAGTGGGTTACAATAGTGTATTGTAGCTTGAATGGGTTGTTAGACTGTATTGTGACCTTGTGTGTCTGCATTAACGTCAATTGAAATGTTTGATTTACTTACACAACCTGGCAGGAAGTCTGGTGTGTTTGTACATAATGCTGGTGAGTTTTATACTCACAGTAGCTGTGTTTCCATTCACACATTTGTGTGCATATTTCAAAGTAGATAGATAAATAGAAAAGCTGTATAAAAATAGCTCAATTGCAAAAGAAGTTTTTACATATACTTGAGGTGGTTTTTGCCTTTGACGCAAAAGTGTTGATGCACAAAATGAGTTATAGAAACGTCCTCGCCAGAGAAATTCTGTCACAGCGAACATTTAACTCACATGACTGATCAGCTGTTTCCGCTGTCGGTGTCTTCTCGCATATCTCTATAATACATGAATGCATGTCTTTGTCTCTGGACAGCATTTCATTTAATTAAACAATTAAACTTGCCCAACTGAAACTAATTCTTGAAGACCTCTCTCCATTTTCTTTCTCAAGCCAGCTTGTTTGGTTTCCAGTTCTAAACCTCTATTTCTACTTCTTCTACTCTGTTTACTGGCGGATTGCAGCCATGCGTAGCTTTAAGCACCAACTTCTAACCAAACTACGCTGAGTTTATTCGCTCCAAACAAGTTGATGGAAACACGCTTAATTCACATTTCTCTTTCTGCAGAATTTCAAAAGTTTACTTAAAGTTTGCTTGAATGTTTTTAACCCAACTGGCATATTTTTCTAACTCAGTTACCCTTTACTTTCACAGTGGAACACTGCAAGATCTGACCCAAGGGAACCCTGCCATCTGCATGTCTTCATCCAAGCTTCAGCTCTCTAGAAAAGGTATGACGATATTCATGAGTTTACTGCAATCAGGTTTAGCTAAGCTAGGCTAACTGGTAGCCTTACATTGAACAGACAAACATGAGTGGAATAGATCTTCTCATCCACCTCTCGGCAGAAAAAGAATGCAAGCCTATTTTCCAAAATGTCTAAAGCTACTTTAACATCAATAATCTGCCTTTGTAGTCTCAGAGGCCCCCTTCGTTTCTTAATACATCCATTTTGTATGCATACAACATACAAAACCATACATTTTCAAAATTGCAGATAACAATAGAAGCGAAAAAGCCTAAAGAACAGAAGGAAGAGTCATAACAAAAAACACATAGCAAGCTACTGCTAGCAAGAGCAGAATATGCCTGTGGCATGATCATAAAAGGCAAATATGGTTTGCATTAATCAAATACATGCAAAACTTATAATGAATAACTCAAAGTAGACAGAGCTTCACCTCGACATTACAGCCACTATACATCACATCTTTTTAATTAGACATATTCAATATTGCCTGTCTTTGTGTGCCTCCTATGCAAGTGAGGAATTTAGGCTGATTTGAACCCAAACCATCTTATCCTGCCATGTGCTTCACATGATATGGGAATCTTGCAAACAAAGGACTTGGCCCCTTCCTAGACTTCCTGTGTGCCATCTTGCCCCCGTCATGTCACTGCCACAATGAATGTTACCGCTGACATTTGACCTACGGTGCCATGTTGTGCTGCAGTTAGAATTTTCTTAACGAGAACTTTGACCCGTCTTTCAGAACGACTACAAACGTGTTCGACAACTTCTTTCTTTCTTCTTTTCCAACTTTCTTATCGCACACACTCCTGGTCGTCAACATCAGTACATCATCATCAACATTAGAGAGCAATCCTTCTAAATTATATTCCCATACGCTGATGATACAGTTCTCTATTCTCCTAGTCCCTTTTCAGATTCATAAATAACTTGCCGGTCGAAATAAAGGTTAAACAAACATCTTAACGCTTAACAGACCTGGTGTTTCTTTCCTCAGTGTCTACTCCACATCTCGGTGCCACTGCAACACATGCAGACGAGGCCAAGGGCAGCGTCACACTTCCCCCCAAGAGCAAGTATTTCCTCCAGTGCCCGGTGTCGTCCCATCACGCCCAGTATACCTGGCGTCACCTTGAAAGCGACACATCATGCAGCTCGAGGGAGCAGCGGTGCCTTCTCCTGATCGACAGCATGGGACCCGAGCAGGCGGGAACTTACAAATGTGTGTCGGAGGAGATGGGCTACATTCGAGTCTTGGCGCAGTACCAACTACAGCTGAGCAAGGCGGCGGGCCGTTCATCGAGCCCACTGGTCTGGCTTTGTCTAATGGCAGTTCTGATCAAGAGTTTGTCCTGAGTAGATAACACCATAGGATAACAAAGGCAATATACGACACTTACGATCTCCAAGTGTCTGCAATCGTAACATAGCTAGGGCCGCGACATTATCACTAAAAGGAAACTCTTTTATTTTGTTACCACAAGTCCTATTAGTAATTATTGCCTTTGATTTAACTAACAAAATAGTAATACTGCATTAATGAATCAGCCGAGTAGACGATCGATAAAGAAAACAGACGTCTCAATCTTGCTTTGGATTGTACATAAGTCCTAGCCTTCTAAAGCATATTTTCAAAAGAATGCGAAGTAGAAAATACATGTAAAAGCTCAAATGTTCCTCATCCAGCATCTCTAAAGCCTGACGTGTCACTGTAGGCGCTTGCCTTCCGCTGCACACAAACAGCCGAGCGTACGTTTAACCAATAATGATGTGAATTATTTTTTGTCAGCCGAGTTTAAGCTTAATGTTTTGATTCCATTATTATTATTATTATTATTATCATTATTATTTAGACCATACTAAATAGTAGAAAATCGTAATAAACATTTCAACATTTCAGCACTGTGCCATTCAAAATCCAGCAAGATGACGAGTCTCTTCCGTGATCATCTTTGGATTAAGAAATACATGTAGAGTTGCAACTGGTTATAGGGTGATAAAAGGTGTTATTTTTCAGATAACCAGATGCTTAGCAAGAATGTAATACTTCATAACCTGGGGTAAGGGGGGGGCATGTAGGAAACCTTTGCTGGTTTAGAAGACAGAAGTGTGTTGAAACCAGAATCATGCAGGTAAAGGAGTCATGAGTCTTGCGATAGTATGATTATTAAATTACATTTCAGTTCTTTTGAAATACTAGCCGTTTCCTTTACTGAGAAATGCTATCCAAAAGGAGACGACATCCTGTCCTTGCTGTAATTTCCCATCTTGCATACTACCTCGGACTTGCTTAACAGGTTGCTTCACTGAGAGACACTTTCAGCACTTTATTTATTGTAATAAATAAATGTATTTAATACTTGTGTTTGATATGACAGTGTGTGGGAATACAAAGATGATGTTTGACTTTTGATTTGCTCTTACAATGGATTTATTTTTGGAAGAAAACATTTCAAAAACGTGTTTGCTTTTTTGCATCGCTTTTCCTTTTCATAAAAATGCAAATCTGTTTTCGTTCCGCAGTTTACTGTCATTGATCGTTACATTCAACCAGTTCAGTTCTTCAAACCTCAAACAGCTGTGGCATAGTAGCAGCAGTCTACATGCTGTACTACACAAAGGCTGCACTTTTGGGGAAGCTGTCACACCAAGCTCACTTGAGAAATGTTATTGATCTATTGATATCCGCATTTCCCACACAAGGCCAGAATGGCTCATAGAAATGCTCGTGGAATAACCAATGTGACGAATCTGGGTTTTTGTTCGTTAGGGAATTCGCTTAACTTGTGTTACCTGCCGTTTGTAGAAAGTGGAAGTGAATCTTTTTCGCACTACTGGAAGTGAACTGGATGTGAAAACGCTTCTAAATGTTAACCAAGCTTCCAAAACGAAAGCATCAGGTCCGGTGGTTTCAGAGGCCCCACCGACACTTTAAAAAGAAATAAATGAATACAACAAACACACATCGAAGTAAGATATAAAGTAAAACTTTATCATGACATACAAGTTTAAAGCCCTGAGAACCATATCTTTATATTACTAATATGAACAAAACTGAATGTGTGAAAACCACTTTGGAAAAGTGCTCCTCTTAAATACAATCAGCACAAACCAGTTTTTACAAGCATTCATGTGTTTTGTCCTATTTTTTTTTTGTTTGCTTTAATCAAAGAGAAAACTATAATATCAGTAATATCATTATTACCATGTCCATAATAATAATAATTACAGTACAAAAATATGCACAAACCCCACAGTTGAATTAATATACGGAGCATTGTACAAGCCAAAAACAACAACATAAAATTGATAAATGAGGTATTCGATAACCACTTGCATATGCGCCTGTTTTTACACAGATCAGGTTAGTTTTTAAACAATTTTAAAACTGAATTAACTTAATTAAAGGTTCTGCAGACTTCCAACTTCACAGCTTCCTGAGTGACGAGACCTCGCCTACAGTTACTGACGATGCAAATCCAAAATAAATGCAAAAACCGACATTGCATTCAGCGAAGTGACCGCAGCTTCCGTCAGAGCTCTTGCCCCAACGCAGCTTCAATATCAAACGCAACAGTGACTGCAGCCCACTTACCCGAGGTATTGTGGTATGATGAGGTAGGGGCGGTCTCTAACACACACACACACACACACACACACACACACACACACACACACACA